GCCTAATTTTATATATGTATGTGTATATATATATATATATATATATATTTCTGTATATACACACATACAAATGTACATACCTACACACATACATGTATACACACTTACATACACACACATGCACACACACATACATATAGGAATTGTGGAACGATCTCAAGAGCATAATGACCCCTTTGAGCCACAGCACTGACCCTGACTTACATAGTTCCAGATGACTTATTATGTGTAAGCTGGCTTGTGGTTATGGACTCACCAAGAGTATTTATTTTTGTTTTTCATCTGATTGCATACTAAAAATAAACAGGATTCTGTACTGCTATCCTTTTCTGCATGGTGGGGTTTATGTCTTTATAATTTTACACCATGGTTATAGCTCTTCATGATTCTTTCTTTTTGTTTAAGCTACTTAAAGTTATTTTAAAAATAATCTTAGCATTGTACCACCAAGAATTTTAATATATTCTTTCCAAAATCCTCTTTTTTGCTCTTTGTTTTCTTGTTTAGGCCTACTGCTGTAGCCGATAGCTCCAAGAGAGTCCCTCAGCCCCAAGGTGAAATTGGTACAATAGGGTTTCATGGGAAGCAGCAGGAGAAGGTCCTGACATCTGAGTGCCTCAGGCTCACCATTGGTCAGGCAAATTTATCTATTTTGAAATATTAATGTTAGCAAAGATTTTTAATTTTCCAGGAGATCACCAAACATGAATTCTTTCGTCATCAACACTGGGCTCTATAATTTGGGATAATGCTGGTGGCATTATCAACCTCAAAACTTCAATGACATAACATAGTAAAAGTTTTTTTTCACGACATAACAGCCAAATGGAAGCGTTCCCTTTTGGTAGGCCGGAGGCTTGGCTTTACAGCATCACTCAAGGACCCAGGCTCATGGAAGCACTGACATCTTTAACATATGGCTTTCGAGATTTTTCTGGGCTTTGACACTAAGTCTGCAGGGGAAAGAAGTTGGTTGCATATGAGAGGTTTTTATGGGCCAGATCTGAAATTGAGACACATCATTTCTGTCCACATTCCCTTGGTCAGAACTCAAATGTATGGCCACACCTAACTGCAAAGGAAGCTGAGAGATGCTGTCTGGTGTCTCTTCAGAAAAATAAGGAAGTGAGTGTTATTAAGCAAAAGATTTTTATACCGTCTTCTACAGGTTTTTACTTAAGATGAAAAACACACAAAAAGCTCCTGTTTAACAAATTGTATATTACCGGTTGTATGATAACAGCTATTTATAAAATCATAAATCCTTTTACTTTACCAAAAATATTTTCATAAATTTGTAATAAGAATCGCTCCAAATGAGTCAGGTTTCATTTGCAACACTCATATTTTTTAGGTCCCACTGAGAAGAGAGATGAACATTTTTGAACTTAAAATGTACATAACTGAGTCTATCAAGATTTTCCAAGCACCTACTGCAACAAAAAAAATATAGAGCACATAGGGAGGATATTAATCCAGAAATAAGAGTTCTGTAATGGCTTTCTACACAAAAAGATTTCTCAGCTGCATTTTTAAAGGTGAATAGAAGATAGCCATGAGCAGAAGACAGCAACATATGCCAAGGGATGCCATAGTGTATTTCAGGAGTATGAGGGTTAAGTATGGCTGCCATGCAACAGGGAGCAAGATAGGGAACGGAAGGAGACTTTTGATGTTGACGCAGAGAAAATGAACTGTTTGCCAAAATTTGTGCTCTTTCTTCCTTGGTATAGAACTACTGCTGACAAGTGGCCAGCTACCATTTGGCCATATGACTGAATTTCAGCCAACAGAGTGTGAGAAGAAACAAAGGTATTACTTCCAAACTAAGAATCTTAAGCACTAGGTGAGCCTTCACCATACTGTTTCCTTCCCATTGGCTTGTTGCAGAAGATGCTGAGACCCTAAGGGATGACAGAACTACAAAACAGAGGCTTTTGTGGCCCTGAAACACTGTGTGAACGAAAGCTGCCCAGAGACTAGAAACTCTCACCTTGATAGTTATGGGAAAGAAAAAGAAAGTTGTATTAATAAAAGCCATTAAAATTTGTTATAGGAGCTATCATCATCCAAACTAATCAATTCTGGAAAGGTTGGGCAGGAAGCATAAGTAAAAGGTCATACACTGTGCTGAAGAGATTGGGTTTGATCTTGGAGACTGGATTGAAGCATGATATAATTTTAAGTATGAAAAAGGCACTATTAGGCTCTTGTTTTAGAAAGACTGAATTGTGACAGGGAGAAGAATGATTTGTAGAGTAGGAGAAGAAAGGAGATCATTTTAGTGACAAAGATACTATCCTGAAAAAAATAGTGAGATGGTGTTTAGTGAAGTTAGAAAGGAGATGAATTCCAAGGATGGGAAAAAAAATAAAAGGACAGGTGTTGCTTGGTGACTACAGATTTTGGGGAGAGAAAGGGAAGGGGATTATTTCCCGTTCCCTTTGGGGGAATGGGGAATGTCTCCATTTTGAACAATTGGATAGATGCTAGTGCATACCTATAGACATCACAGAATGAGAATAGGAGTAGAGTTTAGCTAGATTTGTTGAGTGTGAGATGGCTGTGGGACATCAAAGTAGAGACAATGGGTAGGTAGTTAAGGTAGATAGTTAAGATATTCCTCCCTACCTGTTGAGAGAACTTGAAATATGCACAGTAATTGATGTTATAGAAACACCCACACCACTGAATTTGCAGCATGAGGAATGGGTCAAGCATGGAAATGAGAGACACTGGTATTTAATGAGTGTGGGTACTGTATCCTTCCCTTAAAGAAACTGAAAGGGAGGAAGGACAAAAAGCCCCATGCAAAGCAGAAGTGTAATGTTCCTGAAACTAAGGAGGAAGAGACTTTTTTTTTTTTGCGGTACGCGGGCCTCTCACTGTTGGGGCCCCTCCCGTTGCGGAGCACAGGCTCCGGACGCGCTGGCGCAGAGGCCACGGCTCACGGGCCCAGCCGTGCCGCGGCATGTGGGATCTTCCCGGGCCAGGGCACGAACCCGTGTCCCTTGCATCGGCAGGCAGACTCTCAACCACTGCGCCACCAGGGAAGCCCAGAGGAAGAGACTTTTAATGAGGAAAATTTAATGGTGTCATTATTAAATTTTAAATTTAAATGGGAAACTTTTAATGGTGCCACAACTGCAAGAA